ACAGGGGGAGTTCTCACTCACAGGGGGAGTTCTCACTCATAGGCGCAGTAGACTGAACTGGCAGATGCAATGCCAATGATGAGGCTGCGATCAGAGTCAGACCACGTGCCCCTTCAGCTCACGCAGTCACTGACTACCATTTATTTACCAGGCCACTCCGTAACTCTGTGACTGCAGAGCCAAGGCCAATCTGGTGCTCTGCCTTATCACTACTTGTAATAGCTATATCATATGATCCACCAACAGGGTGTAGAGAGAGGAACAGATATCAGTCCCATTACTATTGGATCTAATAAGCAATGTTGTTAGTGTGTCTGATTCTCACCTCTGAGCTCAATTATTTCTTCAGGGCAGAGAGGAGCAAACGGATCAACTCTGTTCAAAAATCAATTATCACTGCAGCTGGTAACTCAGTAACTCATACGTACCGCAAGTCAGGGAAGTGTTACTGAACTGTGGCCTTCAAACTTTGGATTGTGGTTTGGGGTTTGTTTGTGTGTTTTCTTGTGGGGAGGGAGAGTGAATTGTTTTTGTTGGGAGTTGTGCTGATTTATTTATGTATTTACTGTTTTCCTTGACATGGTCATGTTTCAGAATAGTTCTGTGCTTTGAAGAGGGCAGAGTTGAGATTTACCTTTTTGAGCTACTGGTTGCCCTATAGATTTTTTTTCCCTTCCCCCCCATTTCAGATCTCAGTAAGCAGTGGGATGGTGAGGTCTGTAGTTTTCTGCTTCCTCACTTTGCACCAGTGGTAATACCTCACCAGCTCTGAATGTAGTGTATCCCTCAAGAAGTAATGAAGGGATAACAGGAGGACAGAAACCCACTGCCTCAAATTTAACAAATTGCTTTTGGAATTGATATTCCAAATATTGGAATATTAATATTAATATTGATATTTGAGATGATATTTAGAGCCCACCCGCTCTTTCGAAGGTCTCTTCAGTGCACTTACCTGCACACAGCAGGACAGCAGAGAGTTCTGTGGGTAAGTCTCAAAGATGTATCTGTGCAAGTTAGCTCTGCAAGAATCCTGCGTGCTCCCACTCTGGGAGCTGGTTGACATTTTTGTATGTGGTTGTGGGATTCATGAAAATAAAAGAGCACATCTTCAAGTATTCAAATCATTTCATTGAAACCTGCTTTCCCTCTTTGAGCTTCCTTACATTTTTCAGAAATAAAATAAGCACCTCTAAAACAAAGACCCTTGTCCCCAAATAAAAGTCTATCACAAAACTGCTCAAAATTTTTATTTAAGGCTTGGAGAATCATGTTTTGGCTTTGAATGCTTTTTCTTTCCCTTTCCATCTTTGACAAATGAAATTAAACATTCTTTTTTCCTAAATATGTTAAGAATTTGTTGGGTGGTTGCTTTATTCATTTCAACCACTAAGTTAAAAAAAAAAAAAATATGTCTATCCAAATACATACGTCCAGGCTCCTTCCCAGCTCTTAGGCTAGATGCATCTCGTACGTAGAAAAACACAGGCCATAGCCAGGAATATGCAGCAGTCAGTAATGTTAGGTTTTAGCAAACCTAAACAAAATCATGATTGTGTGTCATGCTGATCTCTTTGAGACTTTCAGATAGGTCCTGCCATTTGTGCAGTCTCTCGTCCCTTAATCCTCTTCTTCTGGAGAGGGTTTTTTTGTTTGTTTTTTTGCCTACTTTTTGAGCAGCTGCCTTCATACTGAAACACAGATAGATTCTTCAGGCTGGTAAATGGCTGTTAAAACAGGAAAGGAGTGAATTGTAGTGGGAGCTTGCTGCTTTATGTAGAAAGAGTTGAGGTAGCCAGCACTACCTACGCAGGAGAGCTATGAGTGAAAGTATCACCCTGACCAGACTGCGTCAAGAATCCCACTGCCCCTGCAAATAGAGGAGCTTGTTCTGGGAACTGGCATCTTCCCAAGCATCGCATCTCCTTTGGTCGCTCTGTCTTGCCCCTTGCCTCTTCCAGGCACCTGGTACAATCAAAGTAGGTACCTAGGCAAGAGTTCTGAGGCAGACATTAAGATTACTTGCCAGATAGAGAGAAGCAGTAGTCATGGGGAGAAGGGCTCCCCCTTCGCAGCTGAGGCAGAGGAAGTGAGGGTCGCTTGTTGGAGGAGGCAGAAGTCTTATTTCTAGTCTGGACTGGGTTCCTGACTTCCAGCTACTTCCCTTTCTCCTTTGTTCCTGAGAAAGATGAGAGGATCTCTAAAAGCAGTGTTTATGGAATTCTGGCAAGGGAATGAGCAGCATATCTTTCTAATATCTCTAAAATGAGAAAAATTATAAAGGTGGTATGCATGGTGGCTGAGCAAAACACTCACTACTACAATAAAGTTGCAAACCTAGGGCTAGCCAAGACAGGAAGGCTGCAGTGCAGAATTTGGAGGTGCTTGAGATAGCTGTGTATATTCCAGATCTGTGAAAACAGTCAGACTTGCAAAGGAAAGAAATAAAACCTAAACCAGACATTTATGTTTGTAGTTTTTATTTTAAAAACAGSAAACACAATCATGTATTAATAATAAGCATATAAAACCCATTGGAAATACTCACAATGCAGAAAAAGAAAATAAGAAATCATGTGAGATAGTCCTGTACATTTCAGCCCAAGCCACCACATAAATTCCTGATGTACAATAGGCAATGCTCTTACACACAGCTGTGGGGGTGGGATTTTCTAACACACAAGTGCCCAGACACAAATATTGCCTCTCCAGATGCTGGAGGGTCAAAGGAAAGGCACTGAATTTGTATAATTGAACCAAAATATGAAAGTAGGGAGAGGAAATAGTTATATATGATACCTCTGGTAATAAATACCTGGAGCAGAAGCCTGATGGAAAGCTAGGGAGAACTGGGTGTAATAGGATCAGATTGTGCAAAGAGATTATTTCAAATCAAGTCACAAGCAAATTTTGCTTATCTCTGGCAAATGTTTGTCATTGGACAGGGTAGAAATGTCATCACTGTAGTTACCAAAAATGCTAAAAGATACTCCCAACTATATACTGATGAGAAGTTCTCCAATCTGCTCTGAAGCAACCTGCTGACAGGAAAGCTTTGGCAATCCATGCTACCACAGCTGCCATTTCTCTCTTTTTGAGCTTTTTTTTTTTGTTTTTTTGAACCCCTTTGAACACCTGAGGGCCTGCTTCTCTGTGGGGCCAGCCACGAACTATGGCATGTGCTTGCAGACAGATCTGAACCACTGCATTCAGATCTCGAGTTTGATTCAGTTTGAAAAAAACAAGAACAGAAGAAATGGGAGCCGCAGTTTCAAAGTAGATCTTCCCCTGTGCCACCTTTACACAAGTCCTGCAGGCCTGGACAGACATGGCCACACACTCTTTCTCAACAGAGCATTACAGTCAGTGGAACAGACCTCTCAACCCTTGATTGCAAAGATACCTTATGCACTATTTTTCGCTTTCCTAACCTTAACTGWGAGAGCTTGGTAGCAAGAGCTAGGCAGATACATACTTCAAGTGGCCTAAAGACAAGGAGACAAGGCAGGAGAGACCATTATCTACAGCTGTACAATTACTATGTCTTCCCCAGCCCATTCAACAGAGGATGATATTACAGAGTTTCACACACACCTACACAGCACACTGCACAGTGGTAGACATTGCAACATCATGCAAATCTTGCAGAGTCAACGGACAGGGCAAAAACTTCGGGCTACCACCAATGGGCTGAGTACTAGGCGCCTTTTGCACTGCTAATCCAGTAGATTGCTTTAGCTCCGGTCTCTAATCCCGTTTCTCCAACTTTATAAATTTATATATAACATAACTGATTGCTACTGTGTCCAAAGGTCCATGCTACATACCTCTGTCTACAATTTATATGAACAATTGCTAAGAAAATACAGCTTTGGAAAATATTTCTTTTTCTTGCACATCTTAAGTAACAATCTGTATGTTTCAGACTTTATAGCCTACTATAAAACAGCAATAGAGAAGCCAAAAATTAAAAGGCAGAAAAAAAAAAATCACCTTCTGCTCCGCAATTATCACCCTCAATCATCCTGCAAAATATTTAACTGTGACTGAAAATAACAAAGTAACAACATCCATTTGCTGCAATATCACACTTTCAAGTAATATTTAGGAACAGTACTTATCATGGCCATCAATTAATCCCAGAGGACACAAGGATTTTGTCAGGCATGCAAACATAGTTCTTCTGACTAGGATTCAGTTCTTCATAATTGTTTCCAGAGAGCAGAAAGAAGTTTTAAAGGTGATGTGGATAATGTGCTCTGTTCACATACCAGCCAAAATGCCTGATTTCCTGTTAGTACCGTATCTCTCCTTTACACTTTCACTCTGCCACAAATCTACAGCATCTTTTGTTAGAAGAGCTATTTTTTTAAACGTCTCTATTTCATAATCTGTACATTTTTGTACACCATAAAAAAAATAAATATTTACAAAATGACTTATGAATAAATAAACTTAAGCAAAAAATATGTTTTCAGTCTATTTAAAAAAAAAAAAAAAAGAACAGGAAAAAATAGGCATGTAACTTGGTCCCTTTTTCCTGAGACTGAAAAAAGTGCACACTGTATAGGAAAAAGCAACACGATGGCTTTTTGGTAGGTTTGTTAAACTCCAGCATAACACTGCGCAAAAACATCACACATGGAGTTGCCTTGTAAAGTGGGGTGAAGGGGACTTTTTGACTTTAGCTCAATGTACAAAAATAGTAATTAGATTCAAACACCTAACGGTCACGTGTGTGTAAGTATGTTCATCTCAAGGAGCAAGGTGAGACAAAACAAATATTGCCAGCTGTTTTCTGCTCTCCTGATATCTGTGGCAGGGGAAGATGAAACTATCTTTGCTAGAGCACCAGGTGCCTTCCAGCATTGAAAATGGGATCTCCCACATCAGATTTGTTTAATGCTAGCCAGGCCTGGCAGAAGGGGGATATATGGGTGGGAAGAGGAAAATAGCAGCAATTGGAAAAAAAAAATTGTCCTCTTTTTTTTTTTTCTGTCTGCTCATTCCTTTAATGACTCCCTTTGAGCACAGAAAAGAGCCAAAGAAGGGATGTGTCATGATCTTAGGCAGCTTCTTTATCAGGTTGTATGCTGTTCAGTTCCACCATAGGGTTCTTCTCCACTGGTGATGTGGGGCTCATTTCTCCTCGCCCTTCAAAGCCCCTGGAGATGTCTTCAAATGTCCTGCCCTTGGTCTCTGGCACTTTGAAGAATGTGAAGACAAAGAAGATGACCAGGAAAACGAGGAAGATGAGGAAGACATAGGAGCCGCATAGTTTCTGCAGGGAGGATAAAAGTGGAAGGCTTTAATTTGGAAAGATCACAGACCTAAATGTAATTCTAACACTTTTTTTTTTTTTCCAGCAGTGCCTTTTTAAAAGAAAACCAGGTTCCTTGTGGCTTCTGAAAATCTTTAACATTCACAGAGGGAGGGAGTGCAACATTAAGGTTTTTAAGGAGAAAACCTTAATGTGCTAATTAAAAAGGTCCTCCAACTATTTATAGGCTGAAAGCGGTATAAATATAAAGTATAAAGCAATTCAAGAGACAGTAGAACCTAATAGGAGCCACAAGATATTCCACAGCAATCTGAACACAGATCTCTGGAAGTCTGTAGTCCAGCCCTCAGCTCAAAGCAAGCCCATATTCAATGGAAAGTCATGTTGCTAAGGGTCATATCCAGCCACATTTTATGAAACGGCAAGGACAGAGATTCCACAACCATTTTGGACACCTTTTCCAAGCAGCTCACAAGTGCTTTGCACACCAGTTACTTACCTCTGCATAGGGGAAGAGCATTCCCACCAAGAAATTAGATGTCCAGTTGGAACAACCAGCCACTGCCATGGCTGCAGGTCGTGGGCCCTGGCTGAAGAGTTCAGCCACAATGAACCAGGGTATTGGGCCAGGACCAATCTCAAAGAGAGCCACAAAGCCAAAAGTCGCAACAATGCTGATATATCTGATCCACTCCACAATGTCCTGCAAGGAAATGAAACATAAGCAGTTGAAAGATGAGGTAAAAGTGGCACACCATAATGCAGTGTCCAGTGCTACAACTTTCTTAGCAGCACCCTGAATACTGCGGCACAGTTTCTGCAGCTGGGAAGTTGCTTTCTCCATCTCACTTCACTAAGACATCTCTTTCCTTTACCTCAACTCCAGCTCCAGTCCTATCTGCCTTGTCCTACAGCTCTGCCCTCTATAGTCTCATAGGTCCCCTGTTCAGGGGACAGTCTGGGCAACACCAAATACTCACCTTCAGAGCTAAAGCGACAGTCATAAGGACAGCACACACAGCCATGCCACCCAAGCCAACTAAGTGGAGGGTCCTGCGTCCTGCACGCTCCACCAGGAACAGCTGAAAACGTGATAGAAAACAAAAATCCGTGATTTTGGCAGCAAAAGCAGAAAAGGTCCCTTAAGTCACAATTTGCACTGCACCTGTTTCTTTTTTCCTGTCTGTAACCCTCAGTGTCAGTGGTCATCTTGGCATAAATGTCTCTGCTCTCTCTGGTTCCTGCTGCTGTCCCTCTCTCTCATCTTGCTCTCGTTCTTTACTTCCATTTTTTATTCTTAAATGAGGACTCCTCCTCTCTTTTCTTCCTCTCCTTTCCTTACTTCCCTTCCAATAATAATTTTGAAGCATTCTTTTCTTTGGCTTACAGGCCACTAGTCCAGCACTTTGTCACAACCTGGCTGCTTTTCTTCAGCAAAAGACCCCATGCAGACTAGTTTACATGAGCTGTTACCTCTCTTACCACAAGTTTCTGCTCTACTTACCGACACAACAGTGAAGACGGTGTTTACCACACCAGCTCCAATGGTGGCATACACAGGCTGGGTGATGCCAGCTCTTTCAAAAATCCCTGTAGAATAATAGAATACCTAAAAAAAAAAAAGAAGCAGTAGTTGGATGTCATCACAGTTCTGGTATTTGAGAGGAAACCCCTCATGTTCCTTGCCTAATACCCCCCAGGCCCAATAAGGAGTTTCCAGAAAATACTCAATATAAGTATAGTATAAAAGAGCATGCTTCCAATTAAGGTTCATTCACTTGATGCAGGGGCATTATGTCTTGACAGGGGAGTGGTATAGGGAAAACAAAAGCCAATATAAACCCCATCTCCTATCTTATGGTTCTCTATGTAGTAGCACAAAGCAGTGCCCTTCAGTCAAAGCACAAAGTAGGAGTATGAGAGCACAGTGCTGTCACCATTAGCAGTAAACAACTCTCTTGAAGTGAAGAAGAGCCAGAGATAACTGAGACCCACAGATAAAACAGGAGCCAACTCACAGCATTGATGCCAGAGAGCTGCTGGGAGAGCTGCAGCATGATGGCAATGATGATGGCTTGACGGTAGCTGGGAGAGCGGAAGAGCTCTGGCACAGTTGCTTTCTTTTCCTGGGACATTTTGGCACTCTCTTCTTTCATTTCCTGGATGTCTTGAGACACATCCTGTGTACCACGGAGTTTCTGAAGAACTAAAGGAAGGAAAACAAAAATGCAATACACTCATGGACAGTAGCTTCCCCCAGCACCTGCCCTGTTGTCCTGATTATTTGGTGAAGGGCAAAGAGTGACGATAAGTCTGCCTGCAAGGCAGTGTTTGGGTATGCTGCATGGGAAAGCCTGAAACTCTACATGTAGATTTGAGACATCTTTTCCTCCCAGAGCTCAATATGTCATCATCATCACGGGAACCAGGCCCAGCTTCTTCTTATTTGTCACTTGTGCTCCAGACTTACACTTGATTCTACACTTGATCATATACTCGCCTTGGGAGTCTCCAGAAGCAGAGCTGAACCCAGTACACCTCAGGGTCAATTCCTGATGGCAGCTGGAGGAAAGCTCTAGCTCTGTGTTAAATCTCAGCCTATTTCCTGCCATTCAGAAGAGGCTGAGAGAGGTGCAACAGCTGATATTGCCACATCTCTTTAGACTAGGTGTGACTCCTAATTTCTTAATCCCAACAAAAGTCTGCTGGAATGATAGGTTTCTAACACTTCTTGGCACASGTAAAGCTACCTTAGCACAAGTAAACCTAAAGAAAGGTGAGAGCCACTCTGATGCCCTCTGAGAATCACACCCTTACCCAGGCTCCAAAGTCAGCCTAAGCCTCACACAAGGCTCTGAAGTCATTCCCAGCCTCCCACTCTCAAATTCAGTGCAGACTGGGAGCCACAACACTGCACCACCCCTTTTAGGGACAAGTTCTCACCTGCATGTGCTCTATCCTCCTCCATCTTGTTGATCAACAGGAAGCGGGGACTCTCAGGGCAGAAAAGAAGAGCCACACACTGAAGGATTGCTGGAAGGATTGTGAATCCCAAAAGCATCGGCCAAAGTTTTTCAGTTCCCATGATTCCCTCCAGACCAAAGATCTACATCAAAAAATGSAAAGAAAGTGATTGAATACTCTCTAATGCTTTACCCCCAGCCCAGTGAGTGTCAGGATGACGTATTACACCTAATTGCAAGTGCAAATGACTTAAAAGGTCCACAAAACCCTCCCTGCCACCACTTCCCCATCAGTACTGCATCCAGTTCTGACTGGCTTACCTGGGCCACCAAGATGCCAACAACGATGCCCAGCTGGTTGAGGGTCCCAAAGGCTCCGCGAACGCTGGTGGGTGAGACCTCACTGATGTACATGGGTACAAAGCCAGTGCAGAGGCCACAAAAGACGCCAATGACGAAGCGGCCAATGATCAGCATCTCCACTGCTTTTGCCATCTTGGAGAAGGCCATGAGAGTGCCACCAGCAAAGGCCAAGACATTCACCAGCAGCATGGAGTTCCTCCTGACAGAAGACGAGTACAAAGACGGAGGTTAAACTGGCAACAAGTGAGAGAAATCATGGGGAAGGAGATCTACCCATGATCCCCATCCTGAGGAGAGGAAATATTTGTGCTCTGTGTTGGAGCAGAGAAATTCTCATTCAGCCCCCGCCTTGCATTACTCTCTCCATTTCTTTCTCTTTTTGCAGCCCATGCACTATTTCCCAGCATTGTCCTTCTCTCTTCCCCCTATCCTCCGTTCTCTTCCTACTCTTCCCTTAAAAGGGAAAATAATCTCAATTGCTTGGATCCCCTTTCCCAGCTTACCTGCCAAATCTATTGACGAAAAGGCTGACTGAGAAGGAGCCAATCATGCCTCCTACTGAGAAGATGGCTACAGAAAGGGACCATAGTGAGGTTAGGAGCTCTGGGGAGATGGGCTCCCCGTTCCGTTCTGACAAGGTTCTGTTGAAGAACTCTTGGATGATCTGCAAGAGAGAAACCATTGTAGGACAGAGTGAGGAAAGGAAGTTATAGTCTAGTAGGAGGCATTTTGCATTGGAGAAGGAAGACAATTTGTGATGGCAAAAGAGACTTTTAATGGAGACAGCAAGCAAAAAGAGATGTTAAAAATTCAGTAGCAGAAGGTAAGTTAGAAGGCAAGTGTGGAAAGAGGAACTAAAAATTCAGAAGAGTGAGAAGTTCAGAGTCGACTATCAGAAAGATGAAGGAAGGATTGCTTCACTGAGCATGAGAAGAGTTGGGCAAGTGATGATTAAGGAGCATGGGCTAATCTWTGACATGTCTCTAGATGATGATGGTGTTTTGAGGATGAGAGAGGAGGGAGTGAGAGGGAAGCAAGAGAAATGTGACCAGAGAATAGATGGCAACACTCCTGGAAATGCCAAAATGGTTTTGCCAAGAGACACAGAGAGAGCAGTGAGTTAAGCCCAGGAAAACTGAGGCATGATCAGAAACAATCCTTCCTTCTATCTTGGAGCACCATGAGAAGGGATGTGACAAGGCTTCTCATGTGGCTAATATCAGACTTATCCACTTGGAGGAGGGAAGATCTGCATCAAGGAGGCACACAGGGCCTTGGAAGGGCGTCCCCCAGCAGATGGCAGCAGGACACTGCTCAGGAGGACACTCCGCTCTCCCTCCCCCTCCCCCCACGTGTCTGTGACATCTGTATTCCCGGAGACGGGGTGGATGTGGTATTGGTGACTCAGTTCCTGAGAGAGGGGAACCATCTTAGTTACAAGAAAAACACATATCTACTTTTCTTCTTCCGTCTTCCCCCCGCCCCCCCGCCATGGTGTAATCACAAGATGATTTGATCAGAACACGCCAGTCACATCCCATTTACAAGCACCAAATCTATACTTAACCTATAATAAAATAAGTAAAGAAAGAAGCCTAGGTCAAAGATAATCCCTACTACCTCACTTTATTTTCTGCACACTGCTCCCTACATTCTGCCCTGGCTTTTTTTTTTTTTTTTTTCCCCCTTCTTTTTTCACTCAGGTTAGCATAGCACCCTTAAAACAGTAGAGTGGAATCAGGTGGATAAAAGAGTGGAATCTACTCTTTAACGACCCAAAGCAGAAGGGACAAGACCCAAAACAAGATGATCCCTGAAATGGTTCACATTTCTTCTGCAAACCAAATAGACAATTACCTTACTCTGGGAAACAGCAGATGGGCATCTCCTGCCATAGTTAACTCTCTGTACTCCAAATCAACAGAATGGTCCTGTCTGTTGTCTCTCCCCTCCACAAAATTCTCTCTTCTCCTTCCTGTCCATTGTTGTAGTAAAGTGAGGGGTTTTTGAACCTCTCATTCGTTGACAGCAAAAACAATAACCATCAACCTAATAGCTGCCATAGAGACAGCTCCTCTATTTCTACACTTTTCAACCCCCTCTCAGCTTTTGCCTGACTTCTACCCAGCATAGAAAGGACGATTTTTCATTGCTCCCTCTCCTTCCTTCCTTCCCTGAGCATGATCCTCTGTCCAGTCCCTTGGCATTATCTCCTCATTCACATTTTCTTCCCAGCTTATTCTCCCTCTCACCTTTTCAGGAGCATTGATGACACCAGTGTTGTAACCAAACTGGAGAGATCCGATGGCAGCAATGGAAACAGCGTAGATAAGATATGCGGTGATTTTCTGATGGGAGAAAACAAAACATAATTAATTTAATTATTCATGCTTTGTAAACAAGCTGACTTTCTTCTCAGCACAAATAGCAGCTGCAGCTCAGAGGYGCCCAGAAACCTTTGGCAGTGCCCTCAGGGCAGGGAATGTCTTTTACATAGGTCAGTGCTACAGAACTACTTGGGCTTTTATCCAAACAGGGTGGGTAGCAGCACGGCAGATCCTGGAGAAAGGGATAATAAGAGAGCAGGAAAATGTTCTGTGACCAGAAGCAGAAGGGCTTCCTCCTCTGTCAGGAATTCCCTTCAGATATCCTGACCTTCATCAACTGTTCTCAGCTCATTAGTAACAAATACACTGACTGCCTTTACTGGCTGTTATTTTGGGTTCATTTGCTCTATGGAAAAGCTTTTGCTCACCTCTGGCATGTCACAAAATCACAGTTCAGATCTTCCCCATGACAACTGACAATGCCTCTTAAATGGTTGGTCTTAGATCTAGCCATGAATCACACTGGCAGTCACTCCTAACAATTAAAACTTGTACTCTTCAGCAACTGCATTTTCCCAGGCTCGAACATCCCAACTCTGCCCCAGGACACCTGGCACAGAAACCTTGCCTCACAGACAAGTCTGTGCTGCCAACTTTTCCCATTTATGTTTCTTGCCACTCTTGCAATAGTTGATACTTTAAATAAAGTCCCAGGATCTGGAATTGAGCGTGTGCAATTCTTTGTATTCACTAAAATAAAAAAGAAACTGCTCAGAGACGTAGAGGAAGTTTGAAGGTCCAACTTGCATAAGTTCCACAGAATTTAAATGTCAGTGAAAAGTAGCTGGTATTTTATATATTTTTGAAAAGTATCTAATATTTTATATATTTTGAAAGGCTGTGGAACTTAAGCCACATCTGTGTTAGGAAGGTGACTCAGGAGTTTGCACTAAGATGCTGAGTATTTGGGTTGACACTTCTTAGGAAGATCATGATTCTACCACAGGAGGGACTGCAAGCTTTTCCAAAGCACTGGAAGTCTCTTTTCCAAATCTTTCCAGTTACTTTTTTAATGCTAGCAAGGGAGAGAAAAGTACCTCATGAGGCCTGCTGYTATAGGTCCTCTACTCTCCTGCTTACCTGCTTGTCTCCAGGAATACGAGCTCCCAAGGGTGCCTTGGAGTTTGCTGCCTCTTTGCTAGTAACTCCTGCCATCATTCACACCACCTTTATTAATCTTTCAAGTCTGGTGCCTTCTGACCTTCACAACCCYCACACATTCAGCAGTCACACCTCAGTAAGCAGAAGCTGAAAGAACATCTCAGATGCAACTTCCCCCCACTAAGTCATGTAGGTGTATCTAAGTTCTGTCTTCCTGCTAGACTAGTGATAAAGGCAGGAGCGACAAGGCCCTCAATTTTGGCATGGGGAATACGATTTCCACAATCCAGTTAACACCTGAATACATTCAAGGCAGGTCTTCTCTCCATCCTGAGACTGCTCATCTTGTAGTAACCACAAGGAGTTCTGACACAGGAGCACAAGGACCCAGCTCTTTCAAAACACTTGGATGCCTACAAAACGGCATTAAGACGTCTAGGTACAAATTTTAGCACTTTAATTGGGGGTCAGGTCACCCCTTGTCAGTAGAGGTAGCAAAGCAGAGGACAAAACCCTGCTCTCCACACTACCAACACCATCACTCAGCGGTACTTTGCTTTGTCATGGCTGGCAGGGGTCACATCTGGCTTCTTTTTCCTTTAGGTATAACATGGGGCCACAAGGCATCTGCAACCTATAAGACACAGAAAAACTACCAAGAGGCTACTTCTTCTACCTTTTTTATACACTTCCCTCTTCCAGACTGTTGCCTGTTATTTATCTGTGTCACACAGCCGGTCTCATACTGGCTAGACATTACATGATCTGATCTATCCACTTAAGCGAGGCAGACCAGGATTTAATGTATGCATCATTTGTTACTGCTAGTCATACCTCATCTCCCCAGAGGTGTCCGGAGAGCTCAGAAAGAGTAAAGCAGTGTTTAAAACCGAGGTCCGGCCACAGGCACCAAGCAGGTTCTGGAAACTGCATTTAACATCCAGGAGACGCCTCAAAACAGCTCTCTTTTTATAAACTAGAATCTCCGAGAAGTACAACTTGTTGAATTCACGCAGAGCAGCCTCTCTGCCCTCCTTTAAAGGCCGGATTAAAGGCCCTCCCTCGGCCTGATGCTCCCGCTTGCTCGGCCTCATCTTAGCGGCCGGGCCCGTTTCCCTCAACATGGCGGTGAGGGCCCGGAGCTCCCTCGCTGCTGCCGCTATCTCTGTTTTAATCGCCTGGCATTTGGCGCTGGGTTCAGCTGGCTATTTGCTGTCTGCCTCCCTCCTTCAGCCTGCCTGCCTTTCTGCCCTGATGCATTCAAACCCCAGCGATTCATCAGCGGCACCGAGATGCACGTTTTTGCTCGGGGCTGCGGATGAATTATGGTAACCATAAGGCTCCGTCCCCTGTTCTCTCAAGGAGCAAGGGGGAAAGAATATGTTTTGCTTTTCTTCTTGTACACGTCATATACCTTCTTCTTACATAAGTCATATACCAAAAACAAACAAACAAAAGACCCCCAAATCCTTTAAGAGTAATTGCGCTTTCAGCATTATGGATCGATTGTCTTTAATCCTGGCACAAACAAGTACCAGCCAGCCAAATATATCTCATAATCAATACAAAGAACACATGGATAGCATCATGTGTCTAATTAGGCCATACATATGAAAACAAATCCATCTCATGGCTTGCAACAACTCTGACCAAACAGGCTCTCCATCTCTACTCCCCATCTCCCACAGGCAGAGCCTTTTTTTCTGACTCATCCTTAAAAAGAGAGCTGAGGCCGGTCTGTATCATCGCAGCTTCGCCCTTTACAGGAACAAGCAGAAATTCAACAGTATCAGCGAGCAGAGTGATGCAGAATTGCCACCATACGGTTCACAGGGTGACCCCGGCTAAACGTTACCAGGCTGCTTTCGCAAGCCGAGCAAACCATTTCTAGCCACGCACATACATATCTGCCGGAGCAAACTACACAAGATGCTGAAGAGACACAACCTCGTAGCGAATAACCAGTAAAGCAACAAGACAGCTACCCACTCTAACAACAAGGAGAAAATCATTACCTTTTTATTCTCCATCGCCCGCGACAGCCTTAAAATGACTCTCGAAGCGCCCTACTTCCACCTCTGAAAGGGTTCTGCGGACCTTCTGAGCTGCTGTGTCCTTGTCTCCCCCTCCTAAAAAAATTGCTGCGTCTCTCTCTTGCTGCTTAAAAATAATTAAAAAAAAGCACCTTCTTTCTGCTTAAGCTCATGTATTTATGGCTTGTGGTATGGGCGTGGGTCTGTTAGGAGGGAGGAGCTCTCTGCAACATCCCGCAATGAGCAAAAAAAAAAAAAAAAAAAAAAAAGCCCATCGTCCTCTAACCTCCCACGATTTTTTGAATTTACATCAGTGGCTGCAAGGCTTTTGCTCGTGGCAGTCATCCAGCAGCGCGTGCAAGCAGCCTGGTTTCTTACGTTTCGCGGCTGGAAACCCAGAAAAAGTCAGCGGGTAGGGAGCTAGCAGCTTTTTGTTATTTAACCCAAGCGTTTTGTCTGAAGTTGCACGGGCGGGCAGCAGGGTTTGCCACACTGCTGGAGCTATACAGATAGTAACTCATGAGGGAATACTAGTGATTTGGATGGGGGAAATATTTTATTTTGAATCCRCAGTTAGAAACAATGAGGCACATAGTCATAGCCACACAAATAGCATTGGCAGAAGCATGAAAACCGCTGGCAAAGTGTATGGATGCTYTCCCCCTGCTTCCAAAGCTGCAGATGAGACGTATATCTGTATAAATGTCTTTTTAAACACTTTTCCTACAAAGATAGAATTTGCAGGGGCAAATCTTGAGATGTGGCGCTGCAGCTGCATTTAGTCCCAAACTTGAACCCTTCCAACCAAACTATGTTACTCTCCCTCATATTCCCTTACAGCCCGTCCCTTAAATCAAACAATTGCCAAACTCTGCAAAGACAGTAACGGAGACCCATGCTTTCAATTTCGGACAAAAGCACAGTCAAAAGGAAAGAAAAGAGAARTTATTAAATCAGAAGTTTCCAACTATTTTCATTTCAGAAAATGGTAGTAACTTAGAGGTGGGAGTGGGGGGGAAGTAGAGTGGAGAGTCAGGAAAGAAGAGAAGCAAGACAGAAAGTTAGCTCATGCTATTTTCTCATTGCTTTTCCTCATCAAATTCTGAGGAACTGGAGTGATCCAATTTTAATTCCATATCAGTTACTTGTTTGGCATGGACTCTGCATCACAGATGGGATATGTAACAGTTCAAATGAGGTGGAGCTTCCCATCATGTGTCTTTCATACCTTGTAGTATACTATTCCAAACAGAAATTAATATTCAACAGAAATTTTCTGACCAATTCTTATTCACTGGACTGTTTTTTTCACAATTATTTTTTATTTTACTAGCTTTTTTTTCCCCACATGTGCAAGTATTTCAAACTTTCTTCTTGAATCTTGGCAGCTGTTTCCAACCCTGGTCTTAACTCTGGAAAAATTCAGTTACCACTTAAAAACTTTCCACATTTGATGAGTTTCTAAATCTCAGAGGCAACCTCTGGACTGCAAAGAAGAATCCAATATCTCCTCATTCCTATTTTTTTTCCACCCACGTGACTCAGGTGAATACTGGGAAATCCAGACCTTGAGATTAAGTGAAATGTATATTTAGCTTCCTGTCCAACTTTAGAAGCAGTAAGACTGTAGTTGAACATTAAATCTCTGACACATGATGTAGAACACAGTGGATGACATTTCTTTATAGAGTTAGTGGAGAGGAGTAAACAGTAGTAAGGAGACCCTAGCTCAAAGTGTCTAGAAACCAAATCTCCCTAAGAAATGTGGGAAAAGCATCCTACTCACACACACCATTTTCATTACTTGTGCGGCAGTCTGGCCTCCCCTAATAGTGCTCACGTATTTGTATCAATTTACAAATTTACATTAGAACCTGTTCCTTTTAAAAAACGATTTAGATTTAGTCCCGGAATGCACATGTACCTCCTACACCACAAATAAATCTCCCAAAGATCAGCTGTTAGGAAACTAAGGGACAAGTGCCTTAATCCCTCCTAAGAGCTATCTGATACTGCACCAGCTGAAACTATTCCCTTATGCTTATTGCAAATATAATACTCCTGTGAATTACGCAACATACATTAATTGTACCAGGATGGAGGCCCTGCAGGATACTCAGTGGCCTGTCAGCCACATTTATGTGGGCCAGATAGAACTGGAACTTGATGCTGGCTGTTCCCATGTTAAGACACCAGTACCTTAACCAATAAACCATGGGGCTAGGGGAAAGACTTAGTTTGTGTTTGCCAAGCTATTTCATTTTAGCTCTGAAAACTCTTGCATGCTCAAACTTGTTCATGCTGTGTTTCATTTCCAGGAATTCTAAATTTTCCAGAGTAAACTTTATTTATCAGGAAATATCAATTTAGCACCATCAACAGGCAAGCTTGTTTTTATTATCTGCATTTATTCTAGAGTTTGGAGCTGGCAAGTGACTCCATAAAAACACTCCGTGCTGTGTCTATTTGAGAAAAATGGCTCAAGGGACAAACAGGGAGAAGATACATAAATGGTCTACTCAACAATAATTTTTAATCCTTTCCATGCTTACACAGGTTAGTAAAGAACAGAGACAGCTCTGTTRTCAACCACAGTGTCATCATGCTGCTGCCCAAGCTCCTTGCAAGCTATATTCTACCAAACAGCTGCTTTGTCAAGTCCCCACTTTTCAGTTCACACTAATTCYCACAAATACTAATGAATCCTCTCTAATGTTTCTTCCCATTTTGCCTGAAGAACAAATTCTTCAGAGATAAGAGAGCATGGACAAGGAGGATTATTTTGTGGTGCTGGTATTAAGAGATTATTTTGTGATTTTTGTGTTGTTGTATTTTTAACAAAAGAGTACTCAGAACAAAAGAGAGAATGAGATGAAGCAGGGGCCAGATGCTTTCCCTCAAGCCATCAGTAATTTTTTATTGTTAAGAGGTGCTGGGAAAGAGTGGGGGACAATAAGGAAAGATAAAAGAGAGAAACAAAAGAGTGGGTGAGGAGTGGATGGCTCTTATCTAAGAGATAAAAATCAGAAAAAGAAACAGAAAAAAATCAGAAGAGAAACAACAAGAGACAAGAGGCAAAACAAAAAGAAAGGAAAGGTACAACAAGGGGAAGAAAGAAGGAACTAATAGAAAAAGGACAAGGAATAAAAGAAGGGGAAAAAAAAAGGAAAAAAGCAGCAGCAAACCAGGAGAGAAAAACGGATAGCAGATGAATAGATAGAAAAAATGAACCAGAGAGTGGCACAAGAATATATGAAACTTCAGAATTGCCTCATCGGGACAGCACAATCACAGCATTGGACAGATTATGTATTTAATATTTTTTATTATTACTTTTACCTCCATATTTTACATTGGTGAAATGCGAGTTGGTAATTATGTCTCTGAAAATGTTCTAATTAATCTTGTCAATTAATAAGATCACTCCAATTAAAGTATTTTTATGTTTTAAGACTGTTATTAGTCCATCTTGTAAAATGGAAGTAACTCTTCCATAAAAACAAAACAGCAACAACAACCAAACCCAAAATACCACCACCAAAAAAAATAAAAACACGTTCTTCAGAAACTGATGTGCTAGGGTGTAAACCATGAAAAGTAATGTCATAATGAAAAGGCTGCTTCCTGAACCCASCTCTGTGCTACGAGAGAGACGTGACAACCCACCCAAAAGTCATGGAAGCTCCGAACTGTTATGGGACACGGGTCTAGGAAGCACTGGCCTCTTCTTTTGCTCTAAGAGGACTTCTGCCCAGCATCTAGGCCACAAGCCTGCTTGTTTTTTTTCCCTTCCTTCTTTTTTCTGTCTTTTCTTCTGGTGGATGTTGCCAGGACAACCATGATTTCTAGCAGAGAGACAAGTTATGTATCTGTGCATTTGTCTTTCCTCCTATGCTATTTATCATTTCTTATTCTAAGATCGGTTCACATCTTAGAATGGCCACACTGAAGTACGTGTTCATGGCTCATGGAGAGTGCTGCAAATGTACTGTTTTCATTAAAAGTCATTGCTTCTTACAACCTCTCTGTCTCTACCTCCTTTCTGAAGGATTTTCCTTCTCTGAAATTTCAGAGAAGTTATGTTTGAAAATGTGCCAGTGTCCATTCCTCAGGACTGGGATGCTATAGGGATTGTGGAGGTATTAAGCAGTTGGCAGAGCTGTGTCAGAAGTTCAGGTTGAGCTAGCAGGGGTTTGCAGGGCAAGAATGAGAGATTTTTGACCAAAATATCCTCTGACTTTTTTTAATATATCAGCCACTGCTTTTCTCTATGCTTTTCCCCGAGGAAAATAAAAAGAAAAAAAAAAAAAGGAAAGAAATTGAAAGGCAAAGGTAAAAAACAGCCTGTCTAATAAATTTTAATTCTACATGTCAGCAAAAGTAGACATCAAACTGTATTGAGGAGTAAAATTAAAGAGATTTTTTTTTCTAGCACAAGCCTGATTAGCAGCATAGCAATAGAAAGATACACACAGTTCAGGAAAGTGGTTGAGTCGGGGTCAGTTCATGAAGAGGTGAAGAGAGGAAGAGAAGATATGAGAGGGAATRTGTGTGGCTGTGGTTCACCAGAGTCCCTTTCTCCTTTCCTTCCTATTCCAGGGGGTGATCAAGAAAGGCATTGGGGTGGGGTTGTTTTTTTAGAAGTTTTCACAAAATTAGGCTTTGTTTCATATTTCTTGAGAAAAACATAATATTCAAGAGAAAAAAAATACGTAATTTCTTATGAAATTAAGCTAGGGGAAATAAAATAAAATAAAAGGGAAATAACTTTTCTGTGGAAGACATAAAAAGAATCTCCCATTAGCACTTGCAGGGCATGAAGCTAACCAGGCAAAAGGGTGATGGAAAGTTTGACAAATTCAGCTGGACAGTGTTCTCTGGCTCCTTAACGGCAGTCGTACAGATACTGACCCGAAAGTACACACAGGCTTACAGCATTTTATGCTTAGCCCAGCCAATGCAGCACCAGTGCAGTAGATACCAGGGGCATGCTGTCTGCGGGCACATGGATCCAGACTGAGCTAGCTGGAGGTTTTGTGCCCCATGGGACGGGAGGGAGGCATTTCAGGGAATTRAGGTATTTTATCTTTGAGCCATACTTCTCACACCCCAGTATTAGTAACAGAAAGCTACGCACACTGCCAGTATATACATAT